GATTCGTAAAATTATTTAGATACTTTTTTACCTTTCAATTCAAATAATGAAATTTTATGTGCTGACATTTTTTTTTTCAGAAAAAATGTCTGAGAGAAAGGCTGTAATTAAAAATGCTGACATGTCTGAAGACATGCAGCAAGACGCAGTTGAGTGTGCTACACAGGCGCTGGAAAAATACAACATTGAAAAAGACATTGCCGCTTTCATCAAGAAGGAATTTGACAAGAAATACAACCCTACCTGGCACGCGATTGTGGGACGCAACTTCGGCAGCTACGTGACGCACGAAACCAAGCACTTCATCTACTTCTACCTAGGCCAAGTTGCCATCTTACTCTTCAAGTCTGGCTGAACCAGAAGAATTCCCACAAGCACCTGTACTCTGACTTCTTTTTTAAAAAAATGGTGGAAGACAAATACTTTTATGAGACAATGAAAAGCAGATGATATTTATACAGGAGTTATTTTCCATGGTGACTATATGTGGTCTTAGTAAACTTTCAACTCAACAAATCATGTGAGAGAAATTTGCAGACATCTCATGTGATCCTTCTCTGTATGCATGTTTTTATTTATATATTTTTTTAATAAAGCAAATTATTGATTACCTTGATTTTTGTGTCATATTTTACTTTTTTTATATTTTTGAATATTTATATTCTTTCTGTTCTGTCACCGAATGCGCCGTTACCCTTCCAATATTGTAATTAAATGATCTATCCAAGACAAAATACCAAATTACGAAAAATAAAATATCGAGACTGTTTAAAAGATTAATTTCATCTTGCATTTTAATCGAAACTTTTGGATTAAATTCTGTTTTCTCCAGTTCATAAAAAAATATATCAATTTACTATTTTAACGTGTTGGGGTGACCTATACGGCGTTTTGGCTTGTTACAAAATTAGAGAGCTGCTAAATTTAATTGTGTAACTAAAAAAATATCGTCTGTAAAGGTAGAGGCAAATGTTGGTATTAACCTTATCTTTTATTTTCTGAACCAGCTTCCTTAAAGCACGGTGTAACAAGCTGTCCACACGGGTGTCTTTGCTGCCCTGGCATGTCTGCGTTTCCACAGTCGCACTTGTACCCGCTGTGCCCTCTACTCCTTTGTGAACAACAGCAATATTATGCTTTTCCATTGTTTGATTTTTATGTAGGATCCATTTTCCTTTTTCACTTTGTTCACTGGGTCGACTTGTTGATAATGTGTGGTGCGCACTAGGAGTAGGCCTAACTGAGAATGAGAGAGACACAGAGAGATGAGTGCCGATCATTGCAAGCAAAAAGAAAATCAGCGATGAACTGTATCCAGCATTTGAATACGTCCCTTGAATCTGATTAATTTTTCTTTTAACCTACTCTTGGCAAAAAGGTATTTTAAATTATATATCCCGAGGTAGTTATTTTACTACTTTAAACTTGTTTTCACGGAAGACAAAGTGTTGGGCCTATCTTGCTAAATGCTCCGTGAAAATGCTATTTGTTATCCAATCAGATTTATGAATGGCTATGTTACCAAGCAGTAGAAAAGCTTAAAAATATAACCACAATATTTTTAGATCACAGATGAAACATACACTTGTCGCTGTTTAATACCACTCTGCAATAGGTAAGTTTTTATCAAGGTGCCATCTATTATATTAATTTAGTAGGCCCCCTACCAATTGCGATTCCAGGATTATATTTAGAAGGGGGAAGGGGCGCAGGGGGGGGGGTACGGTGTGCACAATTAAGAACATTTTGCTTTGTTGCCTTTCAAAAGATATGCAAGAGTAGACGTGAGTGAATTCATGTAAATCTCATTCAATTAAAATTTATGGGGATATGTCCCTTTGGGTACCTCAAATTGCCGAAAAAGTTAAGGATTTGCTATTGTTGTTCTACCATTATAAAAACATTACTAGGACATTTTAGTGTACTTAAGGTACTTTATGAACCTGACATTTACATGTGCATTTATTTCCATTGTAATATAAAAAAAAACTACATATGTAAATAATGGAGATTTGAGGAGATCGTTTCTTCATTCTGGCCCCTACTATACTATAAGAATTATCATTATTTGTGTTGCAATAATTTTGTTAGTTATTATACTGCATTGGCAAGTGTGGATTATCCCAATTGTTAAATTATTTTTATAAATTTACTTCATTTCATTCAATGTAATCAGTTTTAAATATTGATATTCATTTTTCAGAAAAATGTCTGAGAGAAAGGCCGTAGTTAAAAATGCTGATATGTCTGAAGACATGCAGCAAGACGCAATTGACTGTGCCACACAGGCGCTAGAAAAATACAACATTGAAAAAGACATCGCCGCTTACATCAAGAAGGAATTTGACAAGAAATACAACCCTACCTGGCACGCGATTGTGGGGCGCAACTTCGGCAGCTACGTGACACACGAAACCAAGCATTTCATCTACTTCTACCTAGGCCAAGTTGCCATCTTACTCTTCAAGTCTGGCTGAACCAGAAGAATTCCCACAAGCACCTGTACTCTGACTTCTTTTTTTACAAAAATGGTCGAAGAAAATACTTTTTTGAGACAATGAAAAGCAGATGATATTTGTACAGGAGTTATTTTCCATGGTGACTATATGTGGTCTTAATTAGTAAACTTTAACTCAACAAATCATGAGATAAATTTGCATACACCTCGTGTGATCTTACTTTGCGTGCGCATATATATATATATATATATATATATATATATATATATATATATATATATATATATATATATATATATATATATTTTTTTTTTTTTTTTTTTTTTTTTTTTTTTTTTTCAAAAGAAGAATTAAACTATTGTTAACGTATTTTTGGTGTTTTGATTTTCCTTTTTGATATTCATAAATTGTCAAATGTAATGTGTTCGTCACCGAGCGCGGCCATAACCATCTATTATAAATATAAAGTTATCAAACTGTTCTAAAATTACAGTCCTTTTCTAATATAAAAATACAAAATACTCGACACGGTGTCATAAAACAGTTTCATATTAAATTTTGGATGAAAAACTTTAGAATGAAATTATTTTTTCTTTTGTTCAAGACAAAACCATTTCAATCTATTAACAAGTATGTACTGGTATTAAACATTTAATATTTTTTTCTTGTCATAAATTAGGTGAAATGTTCATTTTAATTGGACAAATAATATATTAGGTTAAGGCGGACGTAAATGTCGGTATTAATTTAAACGTTTATTTTCTGTGCCAGCACCCTTAGGGGCCACTCCCACAGATATTTGAATCGATCTATCTGCCTGGGGAGTCTCACTAAATTGCTATCAGCTCAAGAGGCTTAAATGTCTGTCACGCCCATTAAAGCTGTTAGAGGGTAATTATCTTTACTCCCTAGCTGATTCGGTGACTCTTGAGCAGATTGCAATTTAACGTGAACCCCCAGGGAGTTACGTCGATCCAGATGGATGGATCTAAGTATGGGAACTCAGTCTTAAGCTTTTTTTACAGCAAAGTGCAACAAGCTGTACACGGGGGTGTTACGGCTGCCAAAGCAATGTCTGCATCTGTAAAGCCGCTATCCAAAATGTGCGGGTCAACATTTCCCCCCCGGTTACCTACTTCTCTTTTGTGAGCAGCCCCAATATTATTCTTTTGCATTGTTTGATTTCTATGGAGGATCAATATTCTTTTATCGCCATGTACAACGGGTTGCTATTTTGAATAACGCTGTACGCACTCAGCGTAAAAGAATGCATGTAGAGAGGTTAGGTTAGGTGAGGTGAGGAAGAGAATAATGCTAATCAGCGTATCAGCGTAAATGGAAAAAAATTATTTCCGTTTTAAATGTCTTTGATGGTGAGGGAATAAATCTGAGGCACGAAATTAAAGTCAAATACATAAGACGTAGATTAATGCCTTTATTTCTAAAAGAAAGCTGAAGTTGTGGGTATTTTCAAAGCAGTAGTCATGTTGATTACAATGAGCAGGGAAATCAATTTTCATTTAGTGGAAGGAAATAATAAATTTCCACAAAAAAAACAACAAAAAACAAAACTGTGTATCTTTTACTCAACGTATGGTTACAAAGCTGATAAATACAGTATTTGAAAATAAAAAAAAATACTTGCGAGTGATATACATGGTTTACTTGTATAGAAACAAGCAAAGAACTGTTAACATTCCACATATAAATGTCTGAAATTAAGAGAACAATTCTAATAAGTCTAGAACCTATAAACATTATAATTCTTACGTTACTGCAAGTCTTCATGTATATTCAAAGCCATGTTGTGAAGTTTTTATCACTGTACATCGGTAGTGGATGGCGCCACTATATTAGGCAGCCAAAGCTATTTTAACTCTCAATTAGTGTCCAGCTCGTGTCGATACGTTGCGTAAAATAATTCTTCGGATAATGTACATTCTTCGCAACTGACCTAAACAGCGTGTTCCATTAAAAAACTACCAGAATTTGAAGTGCAAGAACTCAATGCTTTTTGGTCCCCGTAGAATTTATTCCCTGTGCACAGTCAACGAATATATAATGTTGTGGTTTTGTCAACTTCATTGATGTATTGCACTTTTCACGCAGTTTTTAATATTCTATCTTAGCATATATTTTTATATCTTTAAATCTGCAAATTCGGCAAGTTCCATTTATGACACTAGACCGGAGCAAAAACCCACCATTTTATACATGTAGATTTTATTTGTGTAAAGTAAGAAACTGACAGTAATAACTTATATACGGTTGTGTTTCTTATTTTCAATAGTTCAACAGTGTCGTGGTCCTTTGTTTATCGAAATACAATCGGGTATGAAATAAATGAAAATAACAAATGCTGCCATCACTAGTCGCAAATTTTCTCTATTTATTTGTCCGTCTTAAAACTTAAAAATCTATGTGCAGGAGTTTCTAAATTTTCCATCTATTGTTCTGACCATCCAATCCCCTTTACATTAACTGTCCTTTCTCTTTCTCTTTCATTCCCATCTCTTTCTGTCTATCTTTTCTCTCTCTCTCTCTGATCAGCGTTAAACTAACTGTCAAAATATGATTCTTCCCTCCTTTATGTACGCAACAGCAATTAAACCGCGCATGATCCACTGGCGACAGATATTTGGACAGAAATCAAATCTGCAGCGAAAACCAGGACAGAAATCAAATTTGCGTCTCAGATCGGAACAGCAGTTCTCCTCCCGGGTAACCCGTATTTAACACATTTTACAAACACGTTTTACACGCCGACAGCAATAACAATTATTAAGATTGATACCACAACACCAGCACGTTACAGGGGATTCGCTCTCGCTTCATATACATCTTTGATGTCTTTCGTTTAATAGACACTAAGCTAAACGTAGGCTAGGCAGTGCATTTTCTTTTCAACTCTTAGTTCCATTTATGATCAGTAATTCATGAGGTAAATCCAAATCCACTGAGCATGGTGTAATTGTCCCCAAATACCGTTTAGGATTAAAAACATTCTAAACCATTTCGTAAATTCAGCCATTTCCTTCATCAAACATCATTTTCTTTTTTGGACGAGTATTTTCTGAGGTTTCGGGGTGCAGGTCAGTTCTATTTTCGCAGGCTCAAAATCTGGTTCTTGTCCCGGTGGAAAACTCACTTTAAACTGACGGAAAAATAATGCCTGTGTAAGAAAAATAAACTCACAATGTGTTATGCATGTATTACCAAATGGCGGCCAATGATATTATAACATACTTGAAAACAAATATATCATATCTTTAGTAAAAAAAGTGTACCATAGGAAATTTCAGTATCCAAAACTAACGAAAAAATATTAATACGGCCTAAAAAAAAACGTTGTCGAGTTTCTCGCTTCCGATTTTTGTCATTTTTACTGCCACATGCTATAATGGAATACATTAGCAATTTTTTCCTTTAAGAGACTGACTTAAAAACTAAAAAGACTAAGGATTCAGAGGGGCTGAGAAACCATCTGAAGTGAAAATGAATACTTTTAAATGTATTAAAATATCATGTCCAAATAAGCATGATTTTCTCAAATATACCATGATATACCATGAAATCGCGTTGACGTCTACTCACCGATATCATCATAAGATTTACCCTCGCAATTCCTTCTCCGATGCATTTTCTCTTGCCGCTGCTGAACGGAAGCCATATTTTATTGTCAACCTCTTTCAAGCTTCCGTCATTGTCCAAAAATCTCTCTGGCTTGAAAACTTCCGGCGACTCCCAGTTGTTCGGGTCATGGTGGATTGCCCAAATGTTTACTGATACGAGAGTGCCTTTTGGAATGTCGTAGCCACCTAAATGTACAATTGTTGGTGAACGTCAAATCGACAAACTAAGCAGGTTAATATGCTAGTCTGTGAAAAGCTCCATTTTTCCAATATAGCATCGGACTAAGATCTTTGGTCACTTTAGAAATACTTCAACCACTGAATCAATGTTTTTCTATTAACTTGAGTAGCAATGCTTCCGACTGGTAATGTATTTAATTTTAATTATAATAATAAAAACAAATGTGGGGATTTTAGTTCCACAGTTAAAAAATCGGAATTGAACTCGATAAAAAGCAGACTTCGTCATTTTAATGTCTATAAATGCAAACCTATGAAGATGATGCCTACCCAATTTGGTGTCACGAAGTGTTTGGTGAGGGAGGCCTGCTGGGGCAGGAGGGCGCATGCGCAAAACCTCTCGCTGAACAGCCTCACAGTAAGGCAACTTGGATTTGCAGTGGCGAAGATTATCGAAATCTTTTCCTAGGTAGAAAAATTGAATATAAACGGCCAAAACCACGCTTAAAACTGTAATTCTCTCACGAGCGTTTGTGATAAGTATTTTAATTAATAAAACGGTGACATTTAACAAAAGTTGTTTTTTATTGTTGTATGCGTGATCATTGAAATGTATTCTTCGTAGAAGATCAGAACGAGAGATGGATATACCAATATACCTAAATCATCTAATTCTTTGTGGAGCTGTTCCTGGACCTTTGGATGAGCGGCAACGTACAGAATCATCCATTTCAGGGTGTCGGATGTAGTGGATGTTCCAGCTGCAAAGAATAACATAGGTTTATTTGCTAAGGGCTTGATTATAATCAGTCTTGTATTTTGGAATGCAACTCTGCGTCATATTCAACTTTCCCTACGCGTTTACCATCATACACATAGTAAAGATAAACAGACATTTGTAATAGTTATTTATATTGGAGACATACTGTATTTAGAAACTTAGTTGCAAGAAATACGTGGTTAAGTCTCCATATATTTAGACTTGCACCCAATCCTTTTCAGAGCCGAAAACGGGTAGTGTGGCCCGACGCACCAGTGAATTCAGGATCATTCGGTGTCGAGTCTGGTAGTTGGGTAGGCCTGATAGCCGAAATATATATTCTACTCGCCCTATGTAAATTCTATTGAACTAAATAAATAATAATAATAATTATTATTATTATTATTATTATTATTATTATTATTATTATTGTATATTGAAATAGAACTGCTTCGTATCACCACCTTTTCACAGTTACATTTTCTCTTACCAAAGAATATGTCCAGCATGATGTAAAGTATGCGAGTGTCAGAAAGCGACTCCTTGACGTTGTCATCACTCTCATTTGTTAGTTCCTTTTTCAGCAGCAAAAGGTGGTCCATAACGTCCCTTACATCATCTTTAAAATTAAACGCCGACATAATGATAGTTATAAAACAACTTCCAGTTAATATGCATAAGGGGAAACTACATGTGTAATGGAACGAGATTTGAAACAATAAACATAAGTAGTATATGCAGTTTTAACCATTTAAACACAGGACACTTAAAGAATTCGCGAAGCATGTTCGATACGTTACAGGTGGCATGTGAAATTCATTTGGATTGTGTAGGAAACTGGGGCTTATAATTTCTATACATTACAGTGCTTTACCACTAGCTTTATATATATATAGTCTCTGAGATCCTTAGACGATGAAAACAAATTACAGGAAATTGCCGACTCAACATTGGACTGGTCTAGGACAAACAACATGCGATTAAACAGGAAAAAAACCAAACAAATGGCCATATCATTTAAACGCAAGAATGCTGATATATATCCCTAAGCTCATTATTGACAAAACAGATATTGAATTTGTAGAATCATTTAAATTACTTGGAGTGTATATCTCTAATGACCTCACATGGAAGGTACATGTAGACAAAATCACTAAAAAAGCAAGCAAAAGGATTTATTTCCTTCAGCACCTTAAGCGTGCAGGCCTTACAACTGATGACCTAGTAACTTATTACCAGTAGGGGTGGGCAAATGACAAATTTTTTTTAAAACAGGTGGATTCTATGGCCATTTTTGCTGCTGAACACAAATCNTAGGGGTGGGCAAATGACAAAATTTTTTTAAAACAGGTGGATTCTATGGCCATTTTTGCTGCTGAACACAAATCTGACAATATTTTTTACCAAAGCTAAAGATTTATATTGGTATCTGCTATTTGTTTGTGAAAAAAGGCGGGAAATGGCTTTTTGGCCATATTTTCACAGTAAAGTACATAAAAATGATGTGTAATATGTCTTTCTATATGTTTTGAGGGTTGCTGAGTTCAAATATGAGCATATTCAAGACATTGACAATATTGTTAGGGTGACATCTGTAAAAATATGTTATTTAAAACAAACATATATATAAAATACACACTTCGAGCCTAAGATAAATATAAATAATGGCCATTATGTACATACTGAATTCATGGATTACAGTTTGGTATAAAAACAATGCTGAAAATACCTTCATGGATGTGTACCAACAAATTTTATGCTGTATAATTTTCCTTTTCTTAAGAACAGGTAACACTTTGTCAGGTGACATCAACCTCTTAAAACCTCTAAGCTCTTGACCTTGGAATAGTACTTAGTTTCAGTTGCGGAAGACAATCGGTTTCTCAAATTTCTGTTTTACATGAACACCCATGATCACTATTTCAGTTCAGTTGCACCACCATGAAAGCATCAACAAGAAATACACTGAAACTAGAAGGCACTGTAACTTAAGCCCCCTGTCACACTTATTTGGAATCTGAAGTAATCAAGCAGAATGAGCCATAATGAAGAATTTTCAAAATTCATGCCACATTCGTTGGGTAATATCAAATTGACCTTAATTCCAGTAAGAATACCTCAGAATGCGCTTCGAACCCACCTGGAATGCTTTGTGCACATTTCGATATATTGTATTAGCTCTCAAATGCAGCTTGAATGTAGTTGGAACACATTAGGAATATCGTTAATGCTGTCTAAATATAGTGAGAATATTAAGAATGCACTTCAAATGCAATACAAGTGTGGTTTCATTGCTGGCTGAATTCCGGCCTGCAATCAAGATGCATTCGAGTTGCATTCCTGCTCATTGGAGGCACAATGTGAAACATTCTGACAAGATTTGAATCGCCTTGCCATTTCGGTTCTCCCTCAAATGTGATCAAAATGTTTCGAATGCTGTTGGAATTTCGTAAGAATCTTAAGAATGCGCTCATAGTGGAGTCAGAATACACTTGAATGCCATTCGATATTTTTCCACTTGGAATGCACTTCAAAAGTTTTGAGAATGAACAAAACATTTTAACAGGATGCAAGAATGGACCCAAACATTTAGAATGCGCTTAGAATTTTTAGATACTTATAATATCCAGGAATAAACAAGAAATTTTCATTCCGACTACATTCTAGCTCATTCTGCCTCTAGTGTGACTAGGTTATAAATGAAGACAATAAGGATATTGTCACTGTTCACCCAAAACTCCTTATTTACTGCCTTACATTCATTCTTTTCGGTGATAAATAAATTTTCAGTGTTTAGTGATTACATTAATTAACATTTACACATGTCATCTTACGGGTGACGGCATTATTGCAGTTTGGGGGTAAAAACTGAAAAATCGGTTTCTCAAATTTCTGTTTTACATGAACACCCATGATCACTATTTCAAAGCCAATTAAATGACACCATTTAGTACCCCAAAACCCTGCCAGTGATTTTTTTAAAGCCTTAGTTCAGATTTGATCGTTGATAAAGCAAAATAATACCTTTGTTTTTAGAAGATCTCTCATTACGGACTCATAACTCAATAACAAAAGCATTTAAACCAAAACGTTGGCATGGGATTGTAGCTCATGCCCTTGTGGTCCATTGGCCAATTTTCGTGATAAAATCTTGTTCAGGGATGAAGTTAAGCCCCATATGGATTGCTAACTTATCTCAAAAAAGAAAGCTGTTAAATAGATGATTAAAGCTTTGAGTTGCTTATGCTTATACGTTGCAACGAAAAAATATAAACGCCGATATTTAATATTTTCAAGAGTTTTTTCATTGTTTCAAAGCAGCACAAAGACAGATACATTATTGAATAATTAGATGCAGGAAAAAACTCATTTTCGGTATCTGGATGGTAATAAAGAGTAACGATATCCTTAATGCTCTGCTACTGAGTGTTCTACTGTAAATAATCCCGTATGTAACAAACATTTTGCCTATTCTGTATGTCAAAACTTTTCAGTTTCACGTGATCCTTGAACAATATTGACCATATTTGTTGTATTATTGTTTTTCCTAAGGCCACACTTTTTTAATTTTATGGATGACATCCTGCGCGCGCACCGATTTTCGTCCGTTCTCCNAGACATGTTGTTAGTTTGATACGTGTTTCTGTGGTAAATTAGTGTTTCCAGCTGTGTACTGAAAACATAACTTTTCTTAAGCAGTTATTTTTTTTTTGGACTGTTTTTTTTTTTTTTCGCCCGCTCGCACCGACTTTGGGGTCCCCAGAGGATGTCATCCATAAAAATAAAAAAGTGTGGCCTAACTTAAAAGCCACAGTTGCACATAAACATCTGATTTATGTACACAGAAATGGTGATTTTGGGGTGATTTTTACCTCAAAATGACCAAAAAATCCTCTTTTTAACCCAAAATGAAGTCACCCAACCGAAATGATGTATCTATTTGCGCTCATTGATCATGAAATCATATGGTTAGACATATAACAAGCCATCTTTGAACTGATATTTAAAGATTTACATGATAAATATGTGATTTGAGGGAGCGTTTGGTGGCCATTTTGAAAAATCACTTGATACCAATATCAGATGTAATTTAAAATGAAAATACTTATTAGATTTGTATTCAGCAGACAAAATGGCCATAGAATCCACTTGTCTGATATTAAATTTCCCAAAAAAGCTTTCATTTGCCCACCCCTATTACCAGACAGTCATAAGGCCAGTTTTGGAATATGCTGCCCCTGTCTGGCACTTTGGGTTAACAAATGAATTGACTGCCTTAGTAGAAAAGTCTCAAGAAAGAGCTCTTAAGATAATTTATCCTGAACTTGAATATGACGCTGCTTGTGAACATAGTAAACTTGAACTACTGAGTGAAAGACGTATCAATGCATGCAAAAATGGTTTATTAGTATATCAAATGAACCAGATCATAGACTGTATTATCTTTTGCAACCAAAACAAAATGCCAAATATTCATTGAGGGAACAGGAAACTTTTAAAAGACCTAAAATTAAAACCAAACGATCAATGAGTGACTTTTTAACAAGTGCCATATACAAGTTTCAGAATTAACTGATAATCTTTTATTTCTTTTTTTTAACCTTGCATTTTAGATATTTTGTTTTAAATTTGCTTACATATGTATTTTAATATTCCTTTGTTCTTACTTACTAATGGTTTTATCCGACTGTGATGCAATGATTGTAATTATCCAACCCTCGGGTTGCAAGTTTGGTAATAATAATAAAAATCTGCTGGATATATGTAATGTATAAAAATGATAATCATATTTTAACTTTGCTTACAAGGTTGCAAATTTTAGAAGTTACGTACCCGAGTTAAAAGTTTTTTTGTGTTCTGCCAGTTGGACTTCATGGAAGCGTATCAGATTCTTCTGGAGTCGCTTTGCCAAAAGGGATGATGGGATAGGTAGATGCTTTAAGGTCGTTATGACGTCAGAGGGAATGAGGCCTCCAAACACCTCGTGCATGGTTTCGTCCACTATGAACTTCAGCCAAATGAATTCCGGTTGGTCCATTTTATAGCTGACAAATATAAATGAATCACTTTTAAGCTTCGAAAAATGCCGAGACAATATACAGATTCTGTTTTTTGAAAGCAAACAATCAATAGGATTGGGCATGTATTGAATTCTATTCTTTATGATACCTATTTTAATTTTATGCTACTTATTCTATTTTTTATGGTAGTACCATCTTCTCACCCGGCAAAGGTTAGCACAAATATTTTAGAATACGGTGTCTTATCACGCGTTAAAGTTACAACGAGAGATACAGAATGAACATCAAGTCTTCTTTCCGTCGATGAAAACGTTTCTACAGCGTTTCTTTCCTTTTCAAGGCTATCATCAGACCAGCGGCTCCACATAGAAAGCTAGCAAAAGTGGAACATGGATGGAACAATAATATATCGTCTGCGACAGCAAGTTGTCATTTTCTGTGCCGAATTTTAAAAGGTGATATAATAATGTGATATAATAATGCTAAATCGATAAGCGTTACATTTGCAGAAGCAATTCCAAACACAGTTTGTTAAAACAAATTTTATCAGACACATGCACCCCCCACCAGACTATGTGACATATGTTTTGGGAAGCTAAACTTATCCTACCACTGTCCGAAAGCCATCCTGCAGACAACGTTGAAGACTAGTAACCGAATGTGGGCATCAATATCAAAAGGCTTGGTCTCCTTTTCAATCAAAGCAGCCATGTCATCAAAGGCAGACTTTGTGAATGTTTCCAGTTTATCGCTCGATACGTAGGTCCTTTAGGATAAGACAGAATATATATATATATATATATATATATATATAATTCCATGAATAACAGATGCAACATAGATAAGAAGGTTCAAGCATGAATTTCAAGCAGACCAAAACTAAATATACATACAGAATGTTGTGAAGCATACATCTTAGAAAATACCTCTTTCACTTTAAATGATTCAAATTTATAAACAAAATTAAAATTTAAATACCTGAACGCCTTTAAAGCCATCTGTCTTTGTAGTCTCCAAACGGGCCCATAATCAGTTAAAACAATGTCTTTGTAGCCTCCGCTGAATAGTTCATCTTAAAGGGGAAAAATGGTTTTTATTTGAAAAAAATTTTAAAATTGGTTTTTCGACGAAATTCTGTGGCCAAGATAATATTGTTATGAAGATTGCCATTGTTGTCGACTACAGTTTTGCGCCAGCTGCCTTTGATCTTAAATTTTCAGTAGATACATGAATAAGCTTCTTATTACGACGTTCTATTACGCAATTACATTTTCAGTTTTCTAGGGTTTTATAAGGGCATCCAAATAAAAAATATAAATCAATAATAATAATAATAACAATGGAATAAAAATTGAGAATGAAAAAAAATGTAAGTAAACCGTAGGGTGCATTTTAGATTGCACACTCGAAACGACAACATCTGCTTGGTATCAGGGTTTTTGCCTGCAGGAAACTTATTTTAAATTTCATAACTTATTTTCATGGGCAGTCTTACTCATTCCAAGGGTTATTTTCTTTTTATTCTTTTCATTTTTCTTTTTTTATTTTGTACTTGCCAGACAACAAATGATTGATTTCCAGATTATAAAACATTGCACGAGGTATATATCAAAGGTCAATTCTCTTTTTATGTGATAGTTTGATAATAAAACATCATTTGATCACCATAATCAGATTCCCTTACTTTCTTACTTTACATATATATAACTGTCACTTACACTTCCAACTCATGGCACCCCTTCCGGCAAATATCTCTTTCTTCTCAACCATTGCCTCATGTACAATATTGGCGGATTTCAGAACCACCATCTTGTTACCAAAACCTGTAAACAAAGACCACACACAATTGGCTTTTTTATCTGTGAGGGCGGACAGTGTCAAAACAGGTGTCCAGATAAACACTAGAACTCAAATTTACTAAAACTGAAACACCGTTGCAATGCGCATGTCTTATCTAATTAGAAACATAGTTTGGTGTCTAAATAAACTGTAAAACATTCCAAAAACAATGTTTTGCTTTAATGCACAGACCGATACAAGATCATAAGAGATATATACGGATAGTGAACGATTACCTAAGTTCACAGTGAAAATATCACCAAAGGCCTTTCCGAGCTTATCGAATACAGCATAAAATCGACCGTCGTTTTTGAATTCTGAAACAAAAGGCACCGTTTACCAAAAGCAGAAAGTTTAATAATGAAAAGATATTGAAATGACTGATTCAGTTCTCTTTAAGTACGTCAGAACAATACTATGTACAGTTTTTCAAGTAGAAATATAATGGAATAGTAATGAATAAACCAAACAAAAACAATAAATAAACATTGAATACACGAATTATAAATACAAACACTTTTCGTGGAGTAAATAAAAAAAACAGTTAAGAGATAGAAAATGCATCAACCAGGGCTTCAAGAGATATAACCGAATCAATTCCCCAGTACCGGCAAATATGTTGGAGGTCCTGACGGCAGTATACTTCTCCTTCTGAAGGAAATATGACATCATCAAAGAAAGCACCATGTATCGGCGACCAAGAAAGTCTTCAAAGTAAGCCAACTGGTTACATGTGAAATATTCATCATACTTTTAATTAAAAATTAAATGCTTATTGTCATGCATTTTATGTTCTCACCTAAGTAGTTCCCCAGTATAGGCAGCTGTGGAGGCCCTGGCGGCAGTTTGTATTTCTTCCTCTGTAGTAATGACATCACCAACAGGAATACTGCACCCCCGACCAAGACGGTCTTCACGTTTAGTAGACCCAGCAGACCCAAGAGGTGCATTGTTCCTGAGATATAATTGGAACAATGCTGGCAAGATAACATATACCTTGTACAAGGCATTACATCATGTCTGTATCAATTAAAATGTCGTTTTAACTCTCTCTCTCTCTCTCTCTCTTCTCTCTCTCTCTCTCTCTCTCTCTCTCGTAACTTACCTGTATGTACACTTAATTCCTGTGATATATGAACCTTCCCTAACATACAAATGCATCTTCAATTCAGTGTTACAGCTGCCTTTAAAAAAAGGAAGTGACTGCCCTTTCCTACAATACATACCTTGGTATGTTCTGTGAACGCTTCTTGCGATTTTTTAGGTTTCTTTCGATGAAATGCCACTACTCTCTCCCTCTAATGATATATGCCTTGAACACTTCGTTCAAGGTTTCCTGGTTTACCCTGTATATGTCTCGGGTGTCAGTTTATAACTGATTTCAAGCTCTATATATCAGTTATAATGTGTACAAATAAATAAATGTCCAAGTGCATATATGGTTATGTTAACTCTCTAATACATGGACAGACCTTGAAAATCGCATCACCTTTCCCGATCAGAGTTCCGTCACTCACACTGCTTGTTTTTCGTAGACCTTTCAGTCGCTGTGCACCCCACTGGGCCAGTATTATTTACCGTTAATCTTTTGTCAAATATCGCTGTTATTCAATCATACAATGCGTTTAATTCAGGCGGTAAATGTGGCATGCAATAACAGGTCAAACCCTTGACCTTGGCACAGTTTGCATACAGTGATAATATGGAAAGGCATATATATGATATAAACCCCTCTGATATTACATATAATGGTAGTACAAGCACCGACTCAGATGATATTTACTATGCACTACCCGGTATACCTGTGCGCATTGATACTTTTGTTACAATGTGGTTGATAGTAAAAATGCGAATAAAGGCTTATATTGATTATTGTACCGGTATTTTCAACGTCGCGACCGTAATGGGTACAGAAAAAAGTCAATATGCCTTACTAATCATCCCTGTCCTACTTAACACCGGCGTAGGAGATCGAATTATTCCCTGTCCATATTAAACGCGGGCAAAGTTTCTGAAGCTTGAACCGGTAACTGAGCCGCGACATAGCATTCCCCGGGATATAAACTGTCACAGGGCCAATCAATACTCGGGAGTGATCGTGAAAAAGCTTAGTCCTGTTTATACCCCTTCAGGGTCGTAGTATATAGCCATATGACGCTGCACAACAGATACTTGTTTAATTAATAGAATTTCAAAGAAGTTTATGAAATTTAACTGTAGGCCTACTATAACAGGTTTAAGTATCTGATAACCATTAGTAGGGTGGGTTTAATTTTTCAGCGCGAGACTTAAATAAAATCATAAAAATAATTATTGTTGTGTCATGAATTAGCCAGAAAAGTACCTGTATCTGTGAATATCCAGCGACAAATCAATATGTGGGCCTGGTAGTCCAGGTATAATAAATCTCAGAATATGGTTGGGATTGGCCGAGTAGCGAACAGTGACTTCATTTCAGCAGTAAATTAGCCCAAGTTTGTAGCTTCTTTTGTGATACAAGGGTGATGACCGAGTCGAGGATTTTAACCCCTCTTAACTAAACAGGGGATTAACGGTATAAAAGGCAGCCATTAGGTCAAAAATGCAGGTAAGGTCGGAGAGTAGCCTATAGTTTACTGAGCGGTGTAGAATAAGCGATTTTTTGTTCGTTTTAATTTCCTCTTCTCTTAATTTTTGAAATTACATTATGTTTTTTTCATAGAAGAGGATAAACATAACCGATCGTCATACAATATTTTCTATGCGTCAAAATAGAGAGAGAAAAAAGTTCATTGCGCACCTGATCATCTGTCTACTGACACTATAATTCATCTGATTGTTTGACTTGGTTAAAAGGCTGACAGGATTCCAACTCCATTGTTTTCGTGTCATGTATGGTTTCCAGTTTGCTTTACTACCTAACTTACTTTCTTTATTGGGTAAAAAGATTAAAATTAAGACAACTGCCATATTTCCTTCACTCTTCAAGAGGTCATTTTGGGTAAAGATACCAATTACATGTATTATCAAAGATTCTGGCCGAACAGTGCTAGCAAAGCAAGTGAAATAGGCTAGGTATATCAGTGGATATCTAGTGAATTTTTTTTTCTCTGTGACAATGGTACACAGTGTATACATATGGTTGATGTCTAACACATTTTATATGCTAATTTTTGTCATTTTTCAGACCCTTGAATCCACATAAGCCTAGATTACATTTGAAATGCGATGTCCGCACGGTGCACATATACTGCTCGTAATACCCTTTCCATACGGCGTCTGAGCGGAGGTAGACGGTGGCCGTGCGAAATTGCACGGAATCGTACGGATTTAAGGTCATGCGATGAAGACACACTCGGCGTAGCCCGTAGCTCCTTACGATTTAAAAAATAATAATAATAAAAATTAAAGAAAATAAAAAATAAAAACAGTCGGACAATTTCATCGCACGGCACCCGTGTAAATGTAATCTAGGCTTTATTCATACAGTGCATCCAATGCAACATTTGTGCGCATTGAAGGTAACAATACAAACACACGTAGGTGCAACTGTCTACCGGCATCTGTCAATAATTTTTGAATATAAAGAGAAACGGAATAAAATGCCGTGAAACGAATCAAATCTCTACATTAAGCATAGATTTGCAAATATTCATAACAATGAAATGTCTTTTGCACCCATTATAGTCTTATAGTCATAGTATAGGGTTTTATGCTCGTGCTCATTAGGAATGCGTCACTTTTTTGAAAGATTAAATCCTCAATACGGTTTGGCTGACCTGATAGATTATCCCAAATAGGTGTAACTCGGGTACGTATTTTTTTTTTGGGGGGGGGGGG